GTTGTCGACTATTTTAGTAGTCGACATAATCGTGACTAGTCGACTAATCGTGGCAGCCCTACAGCCAGTGTGGTGGCCCGCTTTTGTTTTACTCTGCGCAGTTGGAATAAGTCTGCCATACGTTTAAGTAGCAAAGGCTCATAGGACATTAATGTCCCTTGAGCCTTTGCTACTTAGATAAAGTCAGCACCATGAGTGAAGACTATCTGTACTACAGCCCCTTATATAGTCATTGGGCCAATAGATGACATGACTAAGTGGAAATACTGTGTTTCTACATAGGACGACAGGYTACAGCCTAGTAACTATGTCAACTGCTGGTGGGCCAAATGAAATGGCTTGGCGGGCCAAATTTGGCCCACGGGCCCCACTTTGGGCTCCTCTGTTATAAAGGAGTTTTTCCTTTCATACTATTTGTTATTCAGCACTCTGTCTCCTTCCTGTTGTTGACTCATGTTTCAGTTCAATAAATAAGTGCACAGAGGCTCTGTCAGTGTTCTTATATTACATTAGCACTGAGTAAAGTTATTATTTAAAGTTGCACTTCACACAAGAAGTGAGTGGCATGTAGCCGCTTGATTTGAGCTGTTGTTGATGCTGTTCATCATTTTGTRTTTTAAAAACAGGTTGTGTTTTTATTTATAAGGTTGTTGTTGAAAGTGAAAGGACTGTGCTGTTGAATGATGTTAACTATGTTTTATTACCTGCTTGTACATTTGAATTTTGATTGCAAAAATGTTTTAGGTATATAGATTACGACATCAAGACATTAACTTTTAAATTATATATTTAGGTTTTGTACTATTTAGAAGTGTACAGTTGTCAGAAATGCTTACATTACATTACTGCAGTGGTAATCAATTTTAAGTACATTTACCTATAAGCAGCTACTTGTAAATACCTTGTAAAACCCTCATTTYAAAGGTGACATTTTTATTCTACAACCACTCCGTTTTAGTTAAAATTAAAGTATTATTTGAAGGCATGCATATCCTCTGCTGCCTTGCCTGCCAAAGTTTTGAACCATTATGTCACAGCATCTCTTATCTATGTTGAGGGATATTAGCTCAGTATTTTTCAACTGAGGGATTTTTGTCTTTTTCTAAGGTTAAACAGCTGTAGCTTCTATCTTAAATTAGGATAACTCTCAGTTAATCACTTGTAAATGAACACCCAGRGATTGTTTTCTGGGAGTTTCATTAAAATTGGTCCACTGGTTCACGAGATATTTTGCTGACAGACAGACAAATGAACATTCACACACGCATGCACACACAGACATTTCACTGTGGCATGTGGTAACAATGCTGTGTTACATCTGTTCTTTGGTCCTATCGATGTAATGTTGTCTGCAACATGTCTTCCCTCAGGACAATAGCCTACTGCCAGTGGGTGGATAATGTGGAGGAAACCCAGAATCTGCTGGCGATGGACGGGCCTTTGAGCGACACACTAAAGTGGGTGCTGAGCCACCTAAATGGTAGCATGGTGCGCAGAGAGATGTACGGCCATGGCATCGGGCGCTTTTCTAAGGAGGAAGTCTACAGGCTGATGGAGAAGGACATGAGGACACTGGCCACGCTGCTGGGTAGGAAGAAATCTGAGTGCTCATTCCCTCTCCAATTTCTAAGTTTTCTTCACATAAAGGCAATTCCATCCAATGCTAGGGTTGCCAACTCAGCTCCTTCAAAATACGGGACAGCTCCACCAGGGGGCGGGGCTTAATGATTTAATGTGTCAATTATGATGTCACCAAACAGTATTTTTTTATTACCCCAACATTTGAGTTCCATCCACCTAAACAAGATTTAATCGTGTTTTTATTTCCATGTGACATGATAGAATAAAAAGGATAAAATCAACACAATGTTTTTGTCCTTACAACTTTACAGCTGCTGATGGCCTCAGTAAACACAAACACWTATGTTTTTGTGATTATCAAACAGTTCGAATCATTTATCACTTCAGAAAATAACAGTTCAAGAACAAATTTATTGAAAAAACAAAGTAAATCAAGACTATACTACATCTGAATAAACACTACATGTTTTATATGTATTTTATATGTTTCACATTTCTTATTTTACCCATGTTTTCAATGGTTGGTCAGATATGCCATTAAATAGTTTGATAATATAAAAATATGGTCACCCACCACTAGMGCTGGGCGATATGGCCTAAAATCAATATCACGATRTATTGACCAGTTCACCTCGATAAYGATAAATGCACGATAACTCTTACCACCAAAATCACACACAAGTACACGGTATGGTATAGTCATATACACTGTGTCCATGTTTTGTCAAAGTACACAGTTTAGTATTCTCTATTGAAGCAAATTTTAACCTGAACCATTTGGACCAAAGGAAGGAAGGAAGCATTTGATTTTGAACAGCTTTTCTTTAGTTTATATTTGTCATTTTAATGTTTTTAATATGTTTAATAAAAAAATTTTTTGGCAAGACTTGAGTCAGATATAGTCATACAAATAACCATCTTCATAACTTTTCAGTGCAAACACATTATGTATGTATGTACTATAAATTAAAATTAAAAAAATATATATATACTAAATATGTCTTTTGTCTTCACAAAATAACTTCACTACATTTTTTTGTTTGACTGACTGATTTCTCTATTAAAATAACCACCATATTTAGTTCAAAAATATATTATTTAGAGAGCTCATATAATAATTTAATACTATTTATTCTTCTATTTGATCATTTATTTAATCACAGAGCAGTTCAGTCACAGTGGTTCTAAAGATAAGATAAGCAAGCTATATTGTGAAGAATAAAATTTGTAGATATTTAAACTAAAAAAAAACAGCAGGTTTTTTTTTGGTGGGGGGGTGGTAACGCTAAGTGGAGACCCATCTTTCCATCTTTCCTGTAATATGGAACAAACAAAAGTTCATCTGTTAGAATAAATATTGTTATTGGAAGAGCTGAAACAGTGTCTCTCACAGAACAACAGCCTGTACGCGCCATGCTCCTGTAACAGCGCTGTCGAGGAGAGGAGTTTGGKCACGCGAGCAAAGTTGGACATATCTGTTCGATAACGACGATCTGAACACATAAACTTATAGTGTTAGATTTTAGATACCAACATCTCGGTTAGCTCGGGAGCGAAGTGTAGAGGACAGGGTTTGCTCGCTCAGTACAGGAGCTGCAGGCTGACCGGTGTTTATCCTGCAGACTGCTACATYGACATCAGAAAGACCCGCCCTGCTCTGCTCTGATTAGATAAAGCTGTGGGGTTCATTTGATTTGTTGAAAACAGCATCTGTTTAAACCTGCATCAGACTGGGTRGCTTTAACGAGACYGCAACAGAAAACMAACAGGTTTCTCTTTTCCTCATTTTTTTAAATACTGAAAATACCGACATGGGCAAAAAGATGTAAATTATTGTCGTAAATGTCGGTGTCGGTTATTTTTCGGTTTATCGCCCAGGCCTAACAACCACGTTAACAATAGCCTAGCCTGGTAAAAACCAGCCTTTTGTTTGCTTTGCTTCATACAGAGGGTCTGGACTTTATTAAGAAACTATTGCTTGCAGAAGGCCTGGACTTTGTTGAAGTTTAAAACGATTGGATCAGATTTTACCCAATCACTAACATTTGACTGTGATGTATGTCCATATGTACATGCCGACTCAACCGTGAAGGAATCTATGCTCCATCCATCCATCCATCCATTTTCTGTACATGCTTCTTCCTTTTTCAGGGTCGCGTGGGTCACTGGTGCCCATTTCCAGCAGTCACAGTGCGAGGGGCGGGGTACACCCTGGACAGGTCGCAAGTCCATCACAGGGMCACACATAGAGACAAACGAGACAAACAACCATTCACTCTCTCACTCACACCTAGGGACAATTTAGAGTTATCAGTTAACCTAACAGTCATGTTTTTGGTCTGTGGGAGGAAGCCGGAGTACCCGGAGAGAACCCACGCATGCACAGAGAGAACATGCAAACTCTACCCAGAAAGGTCCCCGGACCGGGATTTGAACCGGTGACCTTCTTGCTGAGAGGCATCAGCTCTACCAACTGAGCCACCGTGCCGGAATCTATGCTAAGTAGCTAAATGGAAATTGCGTGCGCTGTCAACAACCATCCCCTACTAGGAAGAGAGAAGTACTGAGCTGAATGAGATGGCTGTAGATGAGTACTGCAGGCTTTGTGAGACAAATTTTATTTAATTTGGAAGCCTTGGACTGATTGGCTTCATTCAATTCCTCTGCTGCCATTGCTAAACAACAGTCAGACTAAAACAGCACAGAAAATCAACATCATTGTTCACAACTCTTCCTTCTGTTCTCTGATTGGCCCAGATGAAATTCTACTGGAGAAATCCATGTCACTGGGAGAAAGCCCATATGGAGCAGAAAAGGGGAGATTAGAATCGAGCAGAACTGTGAATAAGGCAATRACCAGGCTAACATGTCTAACATGTGGCTGTTGCATTTGGCCACTTCAGTACCATCTCGCACGTCTCCCTGCCATAACATGATGTCTCTGATGTGGAACAGTTGGCAACCATATCCAATACATATGTGATAAACACTTTTGGCCACAGGTGGGCAGCGCTAATTTAAAAATTAGTTCTGCAATTTCTAAAGTGCTTATGCAGTGGAAATATTAGCGGAAGCTAATTTTAGACCGCAGGTTCAATTTGACAGTTCTAGCTGGGTACAATTTGTACACACTATATGTACAACGCTGCCCACTAGTGGCATATGAACCCTTGTACAGCTCGTTTTACAACCSCCGATTGCTGGGATCTGATTTCCTCAAACAGAACTTTGGCTCATGGTCTAAAAATTAAAAACTTGTTGAGGCTTGCAGTTTGCAGTGATTCTTTAAAGAGTTTTTTGATTGCGGCTGCTTTTTTGTCTTTTTCTTTTGTTTGTTGTAGATTTTTCATTAAAGAAGCATCAATAAAATAATTTTAAAACTGTTTATTTGAAAACTGAAGTGATGCATTCTGGGTACATCCGCTACATCTGTGGGTGTTGGTGTGTGTGCGCATGTGCTGCAGCGGTGCAAGACATTTCCACCTTTACACGTCTTTAATAAATGACTGTAAACACAGGAACTTATGACTTTGGTAGAACTTAGAAAAATATTTGTTAAATAGTTGAAGTTAAGGAACGAGGGACTCGCAGCGCTGTGAGTTTCTGCGACGATGTAGAATTTATATTTAGAATCATGAAGTTCCTCATTCAGATCCGCTGCATGACTCGACTCAGAACTACAGTAAAATACCTGATTGTATTTTTTTCGGTGCGATACAAATAAATAAACAAACAAAAAAAACACGCTGTCCTCAATTTTTCTTRTGGCGATATCAGCCTGCAGAACAGCTGACATTGATCCATAAATTACACACAATTTTACACAGCAACAAATCTATTGTCTGCATCTTGTGGAGCTGAGGAATCATCACAGCCGAGATGCTCCGAATCAACACGCTGAGTTCTTTCTCAGTGAGAACCAAAATGCTTTCCTTCACACACCTCACTCTCCTCAGCCGTGCGCGCGCTCCGCAGGCCACGCGCTTCGCGTGCGACTCCAACCACGCGACAACAACACAAAAACTCCACAGTCCACAGTAGACCGGAGGCTCCCCGATCATTCTCAGGCCGATCCACCCTCCTGTCTGAGGCCAAATGATCCTCAGTCCCGGGGCTCAGCCCCACCATCACTCGAGTCCAAACAACGAAAAATTTTGTTTCACTTTTATTGTTCAAACTCGAACGATGATRAAACTGAACCCCGGGACCGAAAACCACCCAACCCCAGACAAGAAAACAGACCAGCCCAAAAATGATAAAAGAACTCCCAGTCCACTGCAAACTGCACAGTGTCTATACCGTTGTACACGCAGTTGGAACCACACACAGAGCGCACGGCCCGGGGAGCGCAGTGCACACACAGCTGAGGAGAACAAAACGTGCGAAAGAAACACCCCAATTCTCACCGAGAAAAAACCCAGCACAMCAATTCAGAACATCTCAGCTGCGACGACTCCCTCGCCCCACAAGACACAATATTTGCTGCGTAAAGTTGTGCRCATAGATCAGCTGTCAGCTGTTCYCAGTCCCACACCGCTGCAGGAACCCGCAGCGCAGACGCTCCTTACATCCAGAAAACAGAACAGAGTCATATTTCTGTGGATTTAGGTCAGATTCGTGACTTTGTGGGTTAAAACTGTCGACTGAAAAACTTTGCTGGGCTGCCACACATTCTCACAGTAGGTGAAAAGTGTGCATAAATATACACATACACACTTTCACGCAACGTTGATTTTAATACATCCCAACGTGGGCGTAGAACCTGGCGCACACAACTTTTTTATGTGTACGCACCGTTTATACAGTATATGAGGTCCCTGGAGACACACTTCAACAGAACCTCAGAGAGATCTGGGGTCTCATTTATAAAGGATTGCGTGGAAACCATACTAAAAGTGAACTTATGGCCAAAAGGCGCAAATGGCGTTCGCCAAAAAAAATTTCAGATTTATAAAACTGTGCGTACGCACGTTTCTGCGCATCTTTCCTTTATAAATCACAGCCGCACCTCAGTTTGTGCACGAGGACCTGCCTCAGGTTCTACCCTCTAC